AAAGAAAGAAAGAAAGAAAACACTGAAGCAATAAAAGCCAAGATAGATGCAAATTATACCTTTTATATGTAATTATACGGAGTAAGAAATATTCCAGGACGCAGCAACTTCAAGATTCACTTAAGAATAATCACGGGCAAATAATGCAGAACATTCGTGCTGTACCATACAGAATCCCCAACCTGAGTTCCTTGCCGTTTAAGCTCACTCGTGGTGTGTATAAAACACCATTTCAGAAAGAAAAAAAAACAGAATGTATTAGATAAAAGCGATAGAAAACATAGTAGTGTACAGTGTTGCATTACGGTACAATCTATGAAACGGTTTATGGGGTACATCGAAAAGTACATTTGTGTCAATGTGTACAGTAATCTTTAGAATCCGCCATTAAGTAAAAAAGATATAATTGGCCCTGTGCTTAATTAATTACCCATCACGCGATGAAGAAGTGCGGAAGAATAGACGTGCTCCACCATTCTTGACCTTGGCACTAAATGGAGGTGAGTGATCATTTTCACGCTGCGGTCGTTTTGCCCCCGTGAAAGTGTCCATGGTAAACTTTTTACAGGAGACTGGGTGAGACGTAGAGACGAACTGAACCATGTGGAGTAGAGAAAAGTCTCTTTCTCCCGCCAGGAATTGAACCTCAGCCGTCCAGCCGGTAGCCCGTCAGTACCGACTGAGTTAACATGGCCTATAGCTAAAAGCCAAAATGGCTGATTTACGTAACTCCTTCATTTCACTAGAGTCTGATCAACGGCTTCTGACATACGAAACTATGCACGTGACGCCTTGCTTAAAATAGGCTTTGTTGCGCAACAGTGTGGCTGATAATCGGAATTGCCCAACAGCGTTCAGTGAAAAGTCTCGAATTTGGAATTAAGAAGCTTATTCGATACATTGGCAGCTGTCCTCCACATCCGGAGGGCGTCTCCTCCACACGCAACCTGAGGACGCGCTATGCCGTGGTGACAAGGGACCCACCTAACATGTTGCTGTCTCGTCACCAGAATCTAGGGCAAAAACATGACTCAGCTTATGAAGATAAAATGCATTCCAGAGTCGGTTACGAATTTAGGTTACGGTCCTTAGAATATATAATTGTGAATTGTAGGAGTTACTAAAAACGGGGTTCGGATTGGTAGTTGGATTTATTCGTAATTACAATTAATTATTACACTATTGCTGCTTTACACAATTTATAATCACTCCACACTAATCTTCTAAGTCTGTCTACACTAGTCTCTACGGATTTATAACACAGGAACTATAAAAGTCTCACTTAATTAAACACTCCCAATGTCACCGCACTACAGCACAGATAACGTTAAATCTTCACAGGCTAATTTCTTGTACTCTTCTGTACTCCCAGTTTCATTTCGCTCTGAATTTACAGCTCATGGCTCTCGTTATATAGTTGCGGAACGGATCTACAGTAAACACATATCACGTGATCACAATCCAGCCAGTCTATTGGCGTGCTGGTCGGATCTACGGAAAACACAGCTTCCTCTATTGTTGTGCGTTGGACCGTGTTTACACAACTGTTGCCTGGCAACGTGTTGATCAAATCCGTTACACTATGTAAACTTAAAATATTCCATGGACTGAATTGCTTGAGCACTATTCCATGAGGACGTATGGGGGGAGTTGAGTTATATCTCCATCATTATTAATCTCGGCACTATACGAGGTATATACGAGGCACTATACGAGGCACGTATATACTATACGAGGCACTATACGTATTGAGGTCAGTGATCAATTTCACGCCCCTGCCGCTTTACCCCCGGGGAAACGCCCTCGATACCCATTAATTAGATAGCT